GTGGTTATGTCCAAGGCTTAGGAGGAAGAATGTCAAGGTTCAGGTTTTGATTTTTCTACTTTTAAGCAGTCTCTCCTTGAACAAGTTATTTGTTCTCTCTTTGCTGTTTATTCCTCTATAAAATGGGATTTCTTAAAAGATTCTTCTCATAAAGTTATTGCAAATCACCAGTGTCAGTACTATAAGTACTCAGTACATGTCAGTGATTACCACATCAAGGCCCTCTTTATTATACAATTCTCATTCTGCTTTGACTCCTTGATGAATCTAAGCTATTTCTTGAACTTCTTGCCTTTAGTTTCTTTGGCTCAGTGCTCTTTGTTCTCTTGAGTCTTCACGTTTTCTCAGTGTCTTTCCTTTGTGTCTCCTCTTCCCCAAACCTAATCATCTTTACACCCCACCCTCATCTCCAGGTTCAGGTCTAAATCACTGTCTCTCTTTATTCATGACCTTGAGAAGTCTCACTCACTTGCATGAGTGTTTAATACAAGAGCATTTCACAAGATTTTAAGTTCTAAGGCAAGATGGCAAAAGAAAATTGATTTCACAGTTTTGTTGTTGTTGTTGGCAGTAACTATGGCAGTACACAACTAGCTTATGTTGTCATTGCCAAAACAGGCATTGACCTCATTTCAATATTCTGATAACAAATGCAAACATACTGTACCACTGAGCTCAGGCAATGATAAGTTCTACCGGTTGCTCAAGACCCAAGTAGAGAGAAGGCAAAGGGGAGGGGGCAACAAGAAAACAATAAATGTAAGTTTACAGGCAAAAAAAGTTAGAGGAATAAAAATAAAAGAAACTTGGAGTTAAGAGAATACACAAATAGATACAATATTTGATAGAGAATCCAGCAAGTTGTAGCAAACTTGAGTGGCCACAAGGGCAAAGATGCAAACTAAATAAATGAAGTGAGCAGGATGCTACCACAGGGATTGGTGGGGACTGTGACAAACAAGAGAATGTATCTAAAGGTGTTCATACTCAGTTTTTTATAAGTAAATATTGCAGGCCAAACAAGTCACAGGTCTACTTTTGATCATCTGAATGCAGAAAGACAGGCAATGGTAAAATATATCATTACTACCTGCCCAATGAAGCTGACTAGTCAAAAATTTTCTAAAACACTTATTTTAATGGCTAAAAGTTGCAAATGAGACCAATTTGCTTCATAATCTGATTGCATTTGTTGAATGACTGTTGTGATTCATAATTCAAGAATGAATCCACTGCTTCTCAACATCACAAACCAGAAGACTATATTAATGGATTATTAAGATTTACTTATTGGCTTAATGTGATCCAAATCCTGCCAGTATTACCCTCAAAGGGTATTTCACACTTATAATTGGGTCTCTGAGGTAGTTACAGATGTATAAAGTTTCCAAGATCTTTCAGGGATAAAGATGCTTATCCTGAGAAGCACCTGTAACTGACATGCTAAATGTTCCTTCCATGTGTATTGTATCATGATAGGAAATTTTTGTTTCTGTTTTTATTGCCACTTGATTTTGATCAAAACTCACCTACTTTTTGCATTTTGCCAACTGACAAATGACAGTCTCATGGTCCTAAAAGTTCATATTTCTAAAAAATATAATTAGGGACTGAATTCAATTAGGCATCAACATTATGATCAGCTCTGCTTAGCATTAAACCAATGACAAATATCCAGGACTATCCACAGTAGGCAACCAGCAACTATGTCCAGGAGTATTTGTTCATATTCAATAATTATGTCTCCAGATTTTCTGATGCTATTAAATGAATTCAGTTCAACATTTCTGGGCCATGTTCTATGCATCAGCAATAAGCTTGGTGTTGGAATTAAGAAGATAATCAAACTATAGTTGCTCCTGAAGAGCTTATGCTCTAGGGAGGGAGACTGGAAACTTGCTGTTTTGATATAATGTGGTAAGTGCTATAAAAAAAGATGTGGAGAGCGTGCTAAGGGAACGTGTAGATGGAGCACTGGGCTCAGCCTCCTGGAAGGAAGAAAAGAAATTAGTAAAGGCTTCCTGGAAGTTCATTTTAAAAAACAAAAAGCCAGACAGGTGTGGCTCACACCTGTAATCCTAGCATTTGGGGTGGCCAAGGCAGGAGGATCGCTTGAGTCCAGGAGTTCAAGACCAGTCCAGACAACATAACGAAACCTCATCTCTATAAAAAAATTAGCCAGGTGTGGTGATAAGTGCCTGTAGCCTCAGCTAATCAGGAGGCTGAGGCAGGATTGTTTGAATCCAGGAGTTTGAGGTGACAGTGAGCCATGTAATCCACTGCATTCTGGCCCTTAATGACAGAGTAAAACGCTAATCAAATAAATAAATATGAAAAGCCACATCCCAATAAAAACAGAATGCAACTACCCTAGGTAATTATCCAGGAATAAGCAACTCAATAAGTGTACCAACCCACAATCAGGAGAAGTCTTACTGAATACTTCCCTACACTTGAGGGTGAACTTGTCCTGTCTCAGGCCCACATTTTTATTCATCACTTTTTGACATATAAACACACATCTCAGTAATCCTGCCTCCAATTATTCAATTATTATTCAAGGAGGTAAGCATATGACTTTCATAAAAGCAGAAATCAGTGAAAACTCTATAAATGGAAACACAATTCTGGAGTCAAAAAATCTTCTGTCTCCCATGTGGGGAGAGAAATGACACTCGTGTTTCCCTACTCCCACTGAAGGTCTGGGCCTGTACTCATGGGTGGAATAGGTAGAACAGAATGATTCAAGTCTGCCTCTGCTCCCAACCTTCACAACATAATTGCCTGAAAATCTGTCATGTAAGGATTCATCTGATTTTGAAAATCACCACTGTGAAGATCCTATGGGGCCAACACATGTTTACATCTTGGTGCAGATTTCAGAATAGCCTTCTTCCTGAAGGTAGCAGTTAAAGACACCTCAAAACTTGGAGAAATTATGGAATAATATGTCACTTTTGATTAGTAGTTTAGTGACTAAACCCATGCAGGCAGTTTCTTAATCTTGGGCAAAGATTAAATCTTTGAAGAAACAACTGTAGGCCGGGCTAGGTGGTTCAGCTTGTAATCCCAGCACTTTGGGAGGCCAGAGTGAGTGAATTGCCTGAGCCTGCGGGTTTGAGACCAGCCTGGGCAACTTGGTGAGACCTCGCCTCTACAATAAATCACACACACACACACACACACACACACACACACACACACACACACACACACACACACACACGACTAGCCGGGCATGATGGTATGTGCCTGTAGTTCTAGCTACTAGGAAGGCTGAGGCGGAAGGATCACTGGAGCCCAGCAGGTCGAGGCTGCGGTGGCCATGAGTGTGCCACTGCACTCCAGTCTGGGTGATGGAGTGAGACTCTGACTCTAAATAAATAAATAACTGTAGAATGGTTCCATGTCATGCCTTCTTTATTTTAGACTGTGTTATCATCAATACCTGAAATATAGGTATCGATATTCTTTGTAACAAATTATTAACCTCCTTATTAGAGTTTTGTAAAATGCCATATGACTTCATATTATTAGTGATTTTTCCAAAACAAGTTAAACCCAGCTTTATCATCTGAGAAATTATTTTCACACACCACTCCCCAAATCACATATTAACAATCTTAATCTCCTACATCTTCATTGATTAAATAAGGCCACAGAATGTTACTATCTAATGAAACAGTTGTTTTAATTACCCTGGATACCATTAAAACATATTAATCAATAAAAATACATCAGTGCAAGTTATAAAGAGAAATAGTTTAAAGAGAGATTCCAAAAAAATGTTAAAATGCAATATAAAGGCCAAGAGTCCATTATGCATTCACATATCAATACCAAGTAGGGTCTTATTAATACAGATACAGCATAACTTGTCTAGTAATAATAATAATAATTGACCTAGAGTTACATGCTAAAGTATGTGTTATTGATTTATTAGCAAATAATTGAATTTAGGTAAACTTATTTTAAAATAGAAACAGAAAATAAACAATTTTTTACATACCACTCTCTGCTCTTTGTTTTTCTCTGCTGTATGTTTTAAATGACATATATTTAACATCTGCTACTGGATATTTACTTTCTAACTTACAATAAAAAGATCTTTATACAACTTTAGATAAAAGTTATGATTGTAGTTTTAAAAGCTCATAAGTATTTTTCAGTTAAGTTTTTGCAAGACACGAACCCTCTAAACTTTCACTTCAAAACTAGGAATGATAATAAAATGGCTATAAATGTAGAGACAAGATGATTAATAAAACCAAAGCTCAAGGAAAAAAAATTTTAAGAATATTGTACATCCACATATATCTCAACATCATATTTGCATTTTTAGGTAGACAAATCAGGTAGAATGTTTCCTTTCACTAGGAGGAGCAGTAAGAAATAGACTTGAAAACAGAAAACCCACTTCAAATTAAAGCTTTAATTATGTCTGTGGCCTTGGAGACATCCCTGGACCTCTCTGAGTCCTTTTCTCATATGCAAAAGTGAGGTTTATTCTACCCACTCTAGTGGAGTGCAATGGGTACTGAATAAACCACATACAGGAAAGCACAATTTCCCAGCAAACACCCAATGTTTCTATGGTGAATTCTGAATACTGAGCTTGTATACCTCTACAGCCCCCAACAAGTCCAACAGGTCCTCAGGTGTGTTTTTTGTACTAAATGTTCCCCTTTCCATACATATGTTTTGTATGGGACCATGTTCCTAATTTACTACAATAATAAGTAGCTCGATTCCTACCCTTACAGAAAATCCTCCTCTTTTTATCCTGATATCAACCGGGAATTTGCATATGTGCACCATTGAGTACCACATTGCACTGGCAATAATTGCTGAATAACATGGATAGACTCAGAGCCAGTCTTGTCGTCCTAGGGACCTTTCCAGCAACAGTTCAGAAGTAGCCACCCAAGCCCAATGCCTGAACAAATCAATAGTTTTAGGTACCAGAATGTCTTTATGCAAATGATTTTTAAAATCATTACCTCTTTCACACTGGGGTCCAGTGAAGCCATAAGTGCACGCACAGCGATTTGGAGCCACACACCTCCCGCCATTGAGACAGCCACTTTCACAGACAGCTGCAAAATAAGAAGAGAGCTGAGAAGTTTTACCTGAAAGTAGGCGCTAATGAAATAGCACTTAGGGTCCCCTAAAAGGACAACAATAAAACTATAAAGAGTCACCCTAGTATTTGTTTTGAAGTCATACTACAGTTACAGATACTCACAGGGAGCAGTGCTTGGAATAGATAAGCTTGTACTGTGTTGATGCTAACAATCTCATTCCATGAGGCATCTGAGCAGTGCTTTCAGTTCTACATGTAAAATTGTGGTTCCTAAGAAATTTCACCATATAGGAATTGCATGTTAGCAAACTGATTTTTTTGCTTATGATTTATTTTTACTCTTGAGAGCGTTTTTATGAGAGAAAACATCGGCCCCTCTGATGTCACCCTTACAGAAATGTAACATGTTAAGTCACATAATTAACAGTAAAACAAAATATGAATACTGACATTCAGTGATTCAAGCACTACAACGAAGACCCCATTGAGTGTTATAACAGAATCTATGGAAACTAATGGTGCAGTAAGTCTAGAGATGCTTGAGGGAGGAACATTTTACTTGTTAGAAAAAGACATTAAAATAAGAATCGAAAACTCATGCTCTGAACAATTCTTCTCTGTACAATATCTTGTAATTCTTACACACATTGCCTCCCTCTAGGCATCTCTGTCATGGATAGGAGGCTCTTCCCTGACAAATTTGCCAGTCCAGCTCAAACCTCACTCCCTCATGAGGCTTCCCTAATGCCTCCACTTAAGTTCCTTGCTTCTTGTATATTTCCCACACATATTGCTTGTACCCCTGTGGCAGTAATGAAGTTTAACCACTTAGATCTCCCTTGAAGAGAACCTCCAGCAAGGAGTTTAGCTGGCAGACAGCTTCCAGCTGCTGCACCTTTGGATCTGCTGTGATATTCATGCCAAGGGCACACACTCAGCCAGTGAGGGAATGCAGCAGGATACCAAAGCCTGACCATTTCCACTCATCATAGAACTCTTCTGACAGGCACTTTCTGCTCTGGGCTCCCCATCAGCCTGACTTCTGCTTTCTTGGAGCTGCATTAGTGCCTGAAGCTCCTTCTACACAATTGTCCTTTCTTCCCTCTTTGCTCTGAGGTATCTACTCAGGCAGGTATTGTAGTCTGAAGACCATCCCCTCCTGCCCCTGCCTTCTCTATCTTTTATTATTTACAGAACTTTTCCCCCCAAAAATGTCTTGTGTGTCTAATTCTGTCTTGGCATCTGCTTAGCATAAGAGGACCTGAATTAACATAGTCTCTTTCAGTCAAAAATTATGGTAGGAGTCCATTTATCATCATAAAAATCAGAGAGGTACATGAATTGTTCTACTCTGTCTCTTAATTCAGGGAAAATGAAGAGCTTCTAAGCAGCAAAAAAATTTTGAGCTTGCTTAAGCCAATCCTCCCATTTTACAGATGAGGAAGCTGAAGTTTAAGAAAAGTTTTCTAACTCTGCAAGTGTTAATTCAGCACCTGTTGTGTGCTAGACTTCGGACTAAACTCCCTCAGGGAGCACCAAAGGGAGCTGGAGAGATGCCCAGCAGCTCCCCCACAATTCTCCTCTGAATCCATCCCCATCTCCCTGTCTCTATAGCCACAGCCTTAGTTAGAACCAATCTTCCTGCTCCTGTTTCTTCCTCCTCCAGCTGAACCTCCACACTGTGCCCAAAGTGATATTTCTGATTGTAAACCTTTGTAAGTAATTCATATAAGGTCCATCTCCCATCAGCTGACAGATTAACTCCTACCCAACCCTCAAGACTTGGCTCAAGGATTGACCTCATGGGAAGGCTGCCCTGCCTCTCCTTTCTCCATACTGAGCTACACAAAACTCAATCAATATTCTTATCACACTGCAGTGTATAAACGGCCACTAGGGCAGTATATAAATTTTGATTTATTTATAATAGCATTATTTATCATAGAAAATATATATACAATGACACAAATTATAAACAACCTGAAAAATTCTCACTATTAAGGATTCATTATATAAACAGTAAAAAGTGGGAACCAAAGAGAGGCCCAAACTTTACCTGTATTATGTTCACTTGTATCCCTAATCCTGAATTGTACCCCACATCTTTAAAATAAAATATTTTTTTCAAAAAAGTACAAGGTCCATATAATGAAGTTTAGGCAACCATTGAAAAATATTTTAAAATGTTTAACAACATGAATATATGTCTAATAAAATATTAAGTGAAAAAGTGATGTGAAAAATTACATATATCAAATATGTATTAACAGTCTAGGAAATCATATCTGGAATGATGGGATCGTGAATAATTTTATTTTTCATATTTTTGAACTTCTTCAAATTTTCTGTGGGGTATACATATTCATCTGAGAGTGATAAAAAATAAGCATTTTAAAAGGAATGTACATCTTCCAAGTACAGGGACTGGTAGAGAGTAAACACGATAAGTAGTGTGCATGAATGAACCAATCACAGTAGCAGAATCTAGACAGGGAAATTAGAGAGATGTAGATAACTTTCATCAAGAAAATGGACATGTTTGCAGCAAAAGATGAGGTTGAGTTGTGACATACTTGATTTGACATGCTTTCTGAAAATCCATGTGGAGAAGTTCAGCAAATGAGTGGAAAGTATACACCTGGAATGAAGCAGAACTCTGTACCTTCAGCAGTGACTATAAACCAAAGAGATGAGGCAAGCAGGGTGGTAAAGGTAAAAGAGGAAAATAAATCAAACAGCCCACGACCAAGATTCCAACTAGAAATTTGGCACTAAGTGTGTTGAATAAGTGATCTGTTCAATCATAAGGGTCACTGGACATTTCTAAAACTGTTGTAACACAAGTAATCAAAGAAAACCCACATCACTTATCTCTTTATTCTGTTTGTCTACATATAGATTAACATCTAGAATACTTACAAGGATCGTGTACTTACGTTGCCCACAGTGAGTTCCTATGTATCCTTTCTGGCACAGACAGTGATCGTCACTGCAGCTACCTCCATTCATACAACGAATGTTGCAGTGTTGTACTTGAAAACAAAAAGAAGAATGACTCATTTTTGCAATTTAAGTGCACAGACTGCAACAGTTCACAGAAGTTGATTTGTAGTTTTTAAAAGAAAATAAAATGGGTTATTAGGATTCACATACTTATGCAGAAATTATCTATTTGATAATGCTGAGCATGTTATCATTTGTGTGTATAAAATCATTTACAACCCAATGCAATCGTTTATTTGACATTTACTTTAGTGGTACTAAATGACTTCCCTAACTTGGCAGAACTGATGACTCAATGTCATTTCTGTAATTTACACCAACAAGAAAGTAGTGCCTTGAGTAACTATACGAGACAAGATTACGATGGTAATAATTTTCCTGTGAAAAGATTTAGAGTCCCAGGTAGGTGGCCCAGGGAATAGTCACAGTAAAAAATTCCACAGAATTTTGTGAAATGAAATTTTGGAGGCAGAAACGAGAAAAAAGAAAATACTTAGAAAGATATTTAATAACAAGACTGCCTGATAATGAGGATGGCTGAATTTGGCTCAGAAAAAGTTGCTTGTTTAAACTGCAACCCAAAACTAAATAAGGTCCTCAGTGTTTGAAATGTGATTCTTTGTCACATTTTCACCTACACCAGTGTGTGTTTCAGGGCCTAGGGTAGAAAGACCATGGCTAACAACCTTAAACCTGAATGATGGGACACCAAAAGAAGCTGGAGTAAAAGCTGCCTGCAGACTCCGTTGTGATACCAACAGCATGGGCGTGTGTTCCCATTTCTCTAGTGATTAGCCTGTTTCTGTGTCAGTAATGTTAATAACACTTTCAAAATCCCAGGCTATCCCCTAGTTCTTTAGAAGAAACAATCATCCTACTTGGAGAAGACTAAAGGCTTGACTGAAGTAATCACCAACGCTCACAGACACACTCCTACACAAAGATACCAGGATTGGGCATTGGAAGCTTGGCTTAACCCAGGGGAAAAGGATCAAAAATTTTACATAAAGAGAAGAGAATTTCTTCTTTCTGTGCAAGAGCAGAAATCTGCTGCTTATGTTCATTCTTATGCTCCACCTTCCTGGAGCACAGGGGCCATACTTTCCCTGCAGAGCACAGAGAAGCTTCCTCCCAACAGCCACCCTCTTCAGTATCCCTTAGGAATCCTCAGCACTTGAAAAGTGGCTACTTGATTTCAGGAGAAAGGGCTATTTTGTATAAAGAGCTACACAAATCTTTCCCAATAACAGGGAAGGAAAGTGCAGAACCCAATATTTACTATGCCCCTTTACAGCACAAAAAAACTAACTGAAAGTGATATGCCTTTTCAAGAACACACTTACTCAAACGCCATCAAAGGCTTCCTATCTCTACTGAACTAAGAACCACCTCTATCTCTCATCATTCGAAGTCCTCCTCAGCATGGCCCCGGTGCCTTTGGGGTTCCTTGACATACACACTTTTAATATGTCCTATGACTCAGACCCCTAATCTATTTGTCAGTCATTCACATTCACTCAACAAATATTCCTGAGTGCTTACGATATGCCCTGTAAAACACCAGGCACTTTGCTTGTGCTAGTTTCTCCTTGGAACCCTTTATCTTACTTGCTTCTTTGTCTCTTTGCCCTAATTCTATTTTTTTTCTTTTTTTTTTTTTTTTGAGTCAGAGTCTCACTCTGTCACCCAGGCTGGAATGCAGTGGCACACTCACAGCTACTGCAGCTTCGACCTGCTGCTGGGCTCAGGCAATCTTTCCAGCTCAGCCTTCCAAGTAGCAGGAATTACAGATACATGCCACCATGCCAGGCTAATTTTTTAAATTTATTTTAGAGACGAGGTCTTACCAAGATGCCCAGGCTGGTCTCGAACCCCTGGACTTAGGCAATCCTCTCACCTCAGTCTCCCAAAGTGCTGGGATTACAGACTTGAGCCACCACACCTGACCTGCCCTAGTTCTTAAGCCCTAACATATGACACACACAGTTCTCATCAAATTCTGAAATCCTACCTATCTCCAAGGCCCACTTCAAATGATTCTTCTTTCCCTTGATCTTTTCTGATTTCTGTTCTCTCCTTCCTCCCAAACCAGATGTAAGCCCTCTCTCCTCTCCAGGTACTTTACGTTTCTCTTTTGAAGCATATGTTATATAATCTAGGCTTTTTATAATGTCATTTTTCCTATTCCCATTCCCATTTGTCTAATAACTCAACTTCTTGAAAGAAGGGAGTGTCATGATTATCAATTATACAGTATCTCCTTAAGTGCCTAGAGTAGTACTTTGCCTATATGTAGGTGCTGTATAAAACTGTGCTAAATTAATTTATATTTGCTTAACTTATTCTACTCAATAATGACATCACAAGCTATGCTCAAAAACCAAACTGAGACTGAGAAATTGTTCATTGTGCCCTACGCACTTATACAGCCCTAAGTAGGTTGCTATTAAAAATATTTTTATCTTTGTTCCCCATGTACAAACGCAGAAATAACTTCTTTGTTGGAGCAATGAAATCAAGCAACCTAGGAAACTGATTAAAACAAACTGTTATTTTAGGCTCCTATGACTCCATTAAAACATCTCAGCCAAAACCCTTTTTTACCTAAAAAACTATCTACAAGTACACAAAGAAAAAAATGATTTGATGAAAACTTTGGATACTATTCTAAGTAGGTCAGGAAAAGGTGCAGAGTTGCTTTAAATTTTAAAGTTAAACTTAGCTTCATCCTATCTTAGAAAAACAGTGAGGATTGGGAAAAGCACAGGAAATGATGTCATCTGTCAAGCAGCATAGGAACTCAGCCCTCAAACTGATTTCAATTAAAGCTGCTTATGCCAAGAGCTAATTTCCATTCCCACATAAGCAACAAAACCATTTAGCTACTTTGACATTAAAAAAAAAAGCTAACAGTAGTTTAAATCGTGACTTTACATTATTTGTTCAAATTGAAAATCAGAATGAATTCTTCTTTCCAAAAGAGTAAGTTTACATTTAAATGCATATTAAAAGCCTCCTGATGAGAACATAGATAGATAGATAGATAGATAGATAGATAGATAGAGAGATAGGGAGATAGAGAGATAGGAGAGAGGAGGGTGAGAGAGAGATATAGAATTTTTTTTTTTACCCTGTATTTCAGGTAGAACTTTTCCAGGAGAATATTCTTTCTCTTTTAAAAAATAAAATCCTTTACTCAGACTTGTAAAACAAGAAGGCATGATCTGTCCAGTGGCCCACAGGAACCACCGAACCATGAAGGAATCCTTGTGGGGAAGCAGGAGGGACCAACCTCACCAACAGTTAATAGGATCTGAATCTCCTGCTTTGCTACAAACATGGTTACCATTAAAAACTTTGTATTCTTTGTGAGTCTTAGATCTTTAGGGGGAAAGAAGGCGTTTTCTTAGAGGTAGGAGCAATTGCTCAGGATTTCTGTGGGGAAACAAAGGAACTAGCTATGCAGTTTCACTGCACAAGCAGGAAAGAGTTTAGGGAGATCATATATACACACATTGGTTTTATTTTGGATTGAATCCTGCCATTGATGCATATTCTGATTTGAACAAGAATTCCAGATGTCTCATAATTAAGAGGACAGGTTTTGTCTCTTTAAAAAGCTAACTGAAAAACAGGGGCTTCTCTAACACCCATAAAGATGCTATATTCTTTGCTGGATGTTCTAAATACCCGAGTCAGAATATATTTCAAGCTCAATCTATGTTCAGGCTTTACCAGAATACTAAGAGAGTCAAAGGATCTGTGCACAGGCTGATGTTGCCACATGCAGTCAGCCCTCAGAACCCTAAAGTCCCAATGAGAACATGCCCTTGAAGATGGGCAGACAGCCTCAAAGGGTTTCACGTAAGGCTCAATATCCTAGAGCTAACAGAAAATGTTAAAATTTCTCTGTATCCATATAGGATCCCAAATTAATTTTATGTTCATTTCAGATGTCAGTCAGTCATTTCAATCATTCAACAGCTACTTACTGGAAACCTTTGCCAGCATCAGTAAGAGCAGAAGAAACGTTCTTTAGACTATAGCCCAAGAAAAATTAATTTTAAAATGACTAATGAGGAAAGAACAGCGTGAGCATGCTATGGGAATGAGAGAGATGCAGAGCTGGCACTTGGGTCTAAATACCTCAGGTAATGATTTTCTTTGGGATGCATTAGGTTTGGAATGATTCTGAAGACCTGCCATCATCTTGGCAGGCACAACTGGCAGAAAGAACACCGGGAGCAATTTGCAAATAAGCATCTGTATGGTGAGCATGTGATTCTAATTTAGGCATTAGGAAAAACACAGACAGACAAATTAAACAGCTAGACTAACTTCTGAACTCTACACCTAAAACAACTGTCCACAAAGACAACCAGAGTCACCGCAAGACAAAAACAATTTTCATTTGGAGGGATAACAGTCATGACATTTCCCTTAAGTGCATAAGTGTCTTGTGGTGCCTACACAGCTCAAAAGAGCAACTTCACTAAGGTATCTAAAAAAAAAAAAAACACTTAGCAGTGTTGGAAAAGTTCCAGAGAAAAACAAGCTAAATGACAGCAGTAATAAAGGTGCTTCCACAGAAAGCAGACTAGAGAACAATTCAACCATTTCTACAGACAAGTCTGAGTAGATTCCATGCACTCCTCTCCTCCCTGTCCATAAAAATCCTACATTTCCCTGAAAAACTTTTTCAAGAGTCACTTCTTCCAGACTAGCTACAGCACCACCTTCCCTTCCTCTAAGTATCCTCACACTTTCAGCATGTGGTCTTACCACACTCCCTCAAACTTGCTAACACACCGGTCTAGAATTTTCTCCTAGCCTTCTAATGCCCTTAGAGCTCAGATTTGTATTGGGAATACAAGTGCCCTAAATTCTCACTGAATTTAAGTATATCAAAAATGATAAAATTTGATCAAAGTGTAAAGGGTTCCACAAGATGTCAATACTCCCCAAATTTATATAAAGGTTTAACACAATTTCTATCAAAATACTAAGAGGTTTTATAGATATCAACAAG